CGGGACATGCTCCTGTGGCCGGGACACACCTCACATTGCCGGGACACGCCTTGCATGGCCGGGACATGCTCCTGCGGTCGGGACACGCCTCGCACGGCCGGGACACGCCTCGCACCACCGGGACATGCTCCTGCAGCCGGGACACGCCTCGCACGGCCGGGACATGCCTCGCATGGCTGGGACACGCTCTTGCGGCCGGCTCCACTCTCCCTTTTAGCTCAGGGATTGAAATCGGGGGCTGCACAGCAGGGAACTCATTGCAGAGTGATGCTTAATGAGCCACCAGGCAATTAGATTATGCAAATCGTCCGAGGGGAGCAAGTGGTTTCTGAGTGCGGTGCGAGGCCCTGCAGGCTGGCTGCAGTGAGCTGCCTCCCGGATTCTCCTGGCGGCGGCCGGCTCCACTCTCCCTTTTAGCTCAGGGATTGAAATCGGGGGCTGCACAGCAGGGAACTCATTGCAGAGTGATGCTTAATGAGCCACCAGGCAATTAGATTATGCAAATCGTCCGAGGGGAGCAAGTGGTTTCTGAGTGCGGTGCGAGGCCCTGCAGGCTGGCTGCAGTGAGCTGCCTCCCGGATTCTCCTGGCGGACACTGGGGGGGGCTCCCACAACCCACCTCCCCTCCCCACCTGCAGCGGGGACTCGCTGCTTGAACTCTGCCTTAGCGCAGGGCCTGCTCCCCTCCCCGGCTGCCCTGTGGCCCCCGTGTTTCAGCAGCGCCCCGATCCATCGCGGGGCCCGAAGGCAGCTCCCCCCAGGCTGGGGAGCGAGGGCCATTTCTGGCCCCTTTCCAAGGGTGCAAGGAGCCTTGTGAGAAGGGGCCCGTGCCAAGTGCCGAGCAGCAGCAGGGCCCTGCCGCCACAGGCAAGTGGGAGCCTGGTTCTGCCCTGCTCTCTCCCAGAGTCGCTCCGGAGTCACACCCGCTGCGAGAGGCGGGCCCAGCCCCCGGCCTGCCAGGCCCCTTGGCAGCACCCCACCCCCGGGCCAGCAGCAGGAGAGCTCGGCCACAGGGCTCCTCACAAGCCTCTTGCCGCCTGCCGAGCGAGGACCCGGGCCAGGGACACGCTGGTGGGGCAGGGTCACTCGGTGCCTGCCGAATCGGCGCTTTGCCTCGCTCTCCAGCGGCAGGGCCCTGGCGACTGGGTTTGGGGTCTGGCAGCCGGCGCCCCTCTTGGACACTGGCTGCCTCTAAGCACATCCCGCCCTCCGGCCCCGCGGAGCCCAGCGCAGAGCAGGGGAAACCGGAGCCTTCCCAGGGAGTCTGGCTAGTGCCTAACCATTGGGCCGCCCTTCCTCCCGGCTGCTACCCGAATGCAAAGGCTCACGTGCTGCGTAAGAGCCCCTGGCCTGGGCTCCCGGAGCCAGGCGGTACCTCGTGTTTCTCTGCTCCCGGCCCTTGCCACAGGGCACCCCCCTGGGGCTCTCTTCAGCCTGGGTGCCCCGTGCGGGCGGCTCCCAGGGCCGGTGCATTTGGGGGCCCCTCACGCGCCCCAGGCCCTGCCACGCTCCGGGCCCCGTGGAACAGAATCGATTCCAAGGTGCATGGGCGGAGCCGAGGGACCCGCCGCACAGGGAGGGGCAAGCTCCTCGGGCGCTGGGCAGCGCAGGGGCCGCTAGCGACAGACAAACCCGCTCAGAGCAACGGAGGGAGGCGCTGCGGCTCTGAGCCCAGAGCCAGAGGCCAGGCCCTGCTCACGACTCCATGGCACCAGGGTCCCCAACAGCACGGGGGGCTCAGCAGAGAGGGAGGCTGGGAGCCCAGAGAGCTGGATTCACTTCCTGGCTATGACACTGTCTCCCCATGTGACCCAGGGCATGTCACTTTGTCCCCCTTCGTCCCCAGCAGGGGCTCTCCTGTCCGATCCAGCAGCAGGCAGGGCTGCTTGTGCCTGGCCCAGAGAGGGTGCGCTGAGCGGGTAGAGAGTCCTGCCGACAAACGGCGGGCGGCTTCACCCGGATCAATACGGCAGTGACGCTGTTCTGCTGGAGCGCTAGGGAGCCCTGGGGGAAAGGCGTGTGCCTCTTCCCGCTGTTGCACGAGCCACGCACAGACTCGCACGCTCCAGAGCATGTGGGTGACAGCAGCACCTACAGAGCAACTGAGACAGAGGCCCACGGTGCCAGGCTCTGCAGACCCCTATGAGCCCGCACTGGGCTGAACCAAGAACCGTTCCCCCGCTGTGCTCGGCACTCACCGGCCCCAAGAGAGACCCAGGCCGGGCCAGGCACTGGACAGACCAGACCAAGCTGCCTTCTGTGTCGGGAACTGGACCCGAGACCCCCCCGAGGTCTCTGCAGCTTGTGCTGAAAAGCTGGATGCTGCAGCTGGAGGCCGTCACAGATGCATGAGTTACGCTTCCAGGTTAAAGAGAGGCAAGGAGAGCAGGAGGGACTTGGCCAAGGTCACCCAGCCAGGCAGTGGCAGAGAAAAGGCTAGACCCTGGTCCAGAGTCCTACCCAATAACCAAGGCTGGATCACTCCGTGGGCAGACTAAGCACGTGCTTAGGGCACCAGCAAAGCAGGGGCACCAAAAAAAAAGAGTTTTTTTTTAAATTTTATATTTAAAAAAAAAAGCATCAAAGTCGTCACCATGGGAAAAGTCCGAACGCCGCAGAACGCTCTCGGCTGCAAAGAGCGTGAAACCCTCAGGGAACAACGTGTCAGGACAGACTCGATTCACTTCCCTATTGTGTACGGAAGTGGACGCGCTCCCTCGAGGCAGCGTATACGTCAGCTTTGTGGCATTTCGAAAAATCACATTTTATTTTACGGTGCAGTATTGGTTTTCTTTTGAATTACATGTGGGGCCACCATCATCTTTTCACAGGCCTCTCTCCCTGTAACAGAGTGAAATCAAATTAACTCTAATCAAGACCCTTCCAATGCCTCCTATCTCAAGTTCATGGATACTCCTAGTCTGTCACAATTTGTCATGTAAACCCTTATCTTTGGCACAGTTTGCCTTGTAGACTCCTCCACTCACGTTCTCATGTGGCTTTGTTCTGTAAAACTTACTTCTAGCACTCCTGGGGTGAACAGAAGTCTCAGAGTGCTTCTGCTGAGACTTTGATATGTTAAAGAAAAACAATCCACAACTGGGCTGTCTGAACATACTGTATAAAGAATCCCTGAATCTGTCTGTCAGGGCTGCTTCACTCTTGGTGTGACAGCCTGCATGCATGCATCAGAAAGTTTTCTCTTCTAGGTTTCTCTCCTGCCTCACTGATTTGACCTCCGGCCTCGGACCCTTCTGGGGGCTCTGTACCCCAGGGGAGCGAGATTTCCCCCTCAGGCCTCACCGGAGCCGGATAAAGGGGAATAATCGCTTCTCTAGATCTGCTGGCAACGCTCCTCCTAATGCCCCTAATCTGCCGTTAGCCTGGGCCACAAGGGCCCCCCATCGACTCGTCTCCAGCTTCTCAGCCACTGTCACCCCAGGTCCTTTTGTGCCGAACGGCTGCTTAGCCAGTCGGTCCCCAGCCTGTAGCAGGGCTTGGGTTTCTTCCCTCCCAAGGCCATGTCTGAACCCTGCACCCTAGGGTTAGGAAGGGATCTGAGGGCAGGTCAGCCAAGGAGATTATCTGCACCCCTATTTCTGTGTCAGGGTGACCCCCAGTGGTTGCAGGGGTAAGTGCAGTTCTCTTTCATCCTGCGCCTGCTGAGAGTGACATCTTACATCCTCTGGGGGAGTGGGTGCAGCCGCCACATTCCATGCTGGTGGCCGACCCTCAGCTGACATAAATGGGCGTCTCCCCCATTAAAACGACGAGGCTTGGCCTAGATATACTATTTAGCCCCACATGACGATTCCAGCCCCAGAGGGAAACTTGGCACGAAGGGTCACAACCATGCAAAGCCAGCAGTTGTGAGGGAGTGCTAGTACACATGCAGGCGTTGTCAGCGTGGGAGCAAAGTTCGCAGCCTTGCTGTCCTCGGGGAAGCCATCGCTGGAGGGGGCTGACTTCAGAGCTCTAAGGAAAGACTTGGGTTTTGCATTAACAAGGCTTCAGACTAGGGATGTGAGTGACCATTTAAACCTCAGTGTGTCTACTCCCCCCCCCCGTGCTACTGGCTCTGTATCAGAGCCTGCAGCGTGGGGTGGCTGCCGGCTCCCTGGGAGCGGAGCTGGCATAAGCTGGCTCATGGCATTCACCCGCTCCCAAGGAGCCAGCTATGCTGTGGGCTGTGCAGTGTAAGCTGTATACTGAGCTATACCATTTTTTTACGTCCTGCTCCGGACCAGTGTTCCCAGTTAGCTGAGCGCTTGGGTGGCCACCCAGAAGAGATTCCAATGCCATCCAGCCGATTAGCAGGGCACCCACTCGTGGTGCACAGAGCGGACGCTGTGCAGACGGCACGCGCTGGGGCGAGGCGTGTTCCCTTTCTCAGGATTTGCTGGGGAGTCTGGCCCCGTCTGCAGCCCCCAGTGATCGGAACACGGGGACTCTCAGCCGACTCGCGCTGGGTTGTGGGGAGAGCCCTGAAAACACAAACCCCTTCAGGGACCACAAACGTGCGAACAGCCCCCAGCTAGTGAGCGTGAGAACAGCACGAGCGGGGCACCAGCGGGTGCACGGTGCAGCTCCCCAGCCGTGCGTGGCCCTGCTGTTTTGTGGGTACCCGGTACCGCCTCTGCGGGGCACGTGGGGGCCAGGCCGGTGCCCACGGGGCGTGTAACCCTGGGCGTGCCCCTCCCACACCGCGTGCGCGCGCAGCAGGTAGGGCGCCTGCAACCCGCTGACCCCTGAAGACACAGGCCGTGTGTGGCCCTTTAAGAGAAGCGCCATTTGGAGCACAGAAGGAGGAGCGCATGCGCAGTAAACGGCCTCTGGACCAGAATTCGCGCCCCCGTGCCCCTGCCGCTGAACGTGTGGAGCCGCCAGCCGCTGCGGCGCATGC